GCCTACCCCATTCAACGACCGTCGCCACCCACCGTTGTTGGCGCTGTAACGATTTAGTATCTAAGTTGCATAGGGGAACAGCGCATTCTGGGTGTTCGTGTACTAAATTCGGAAAGCGGTAATAAACATCAAACATGGCTGCCGGATTACTAGTAGTTTACCGCGAGTATTTGTAATTGAATAATATTTTAGTTATCTTTTCCATGTTTTTTTTCAATTTATCCATTTTTTATGTCTAATCTTTCGAGAACATAGCAGATTCTTTTCTTGTGCCGATTGCTAGCATTTTTTCTTGAATTCCAAAACGTGTGAAAACGCAACGTATCGTGACTGTAAATGCGTAAATGCATCTTACCGTCCGTCGGCACGGGTGAGTACTGATGCCACAAATAAAAAATGTTATGAGTTTTATTTTGACAAATCGTCCGTTTTGGCGTCGGGGACAAATCATCTCGTATATTTTCTACATTATAACTCTTGTACTTGCTCTTGGTTACTCGAATTGCATTTCATGAACGTAGAATAATTTGCGAACGTGTAAATCACCGATTTCAAACTTTTTGCATTTCGTAAATAATAATAGTGACCAATCTGTTTGTATTTCAAAAAATTGTAACATGTTTCAATTAAATTAAAAAGAGAATAGTAAATAACTTAGTGTGTATTGCAGTTCATGACATAAATGCTAGAATGCAGTATGTAAATGACATGCAAATTAATATGCAAATTTATGCTAATTAGGCCACCCACCAGCTATTTTGCATTGTGGAGAACACTGAATAAAAAGATAATCTATTAGCAAGGGGTATTCCGTTGTGTCTGTCAGTCTCAGTTTTCAAGTTATGGTCACTGAGGCGAAATTATTTAAACTTTCGCGCATCTCAATATTTTGCAGGGTAACAAGGTAGGTTTCAAAAGCAAAATTGTTTTTTTTAATTATCTGTATGTTCTTAATTATTTATATTTCATTTTGTTTTGACTGAATTTCATTGTTGTCAACCAGGTTAGACTGGTTGATGTTATTCAAAAGGGAGTCTACCATTTACCATTAATTTCTTAATATTAATAATTTACTATTAAACTCGAAAACATCGTAATGTTATTACTTCTACGCCAGGTAACACCAAATAAAACCAACATCGATATAGAATTACTGTGGCCAATGACATTGAAATTTGCTCTTCCATAAAACAGCAGTTTCCCTTTTCTAATAATCAAAACTACCCTTGATACCCTGAAGAAGTATGTCCATTGTTTCACAACAACGACTGTCCCAAGAGATTTTCGTCTTCTCAATTTCTCAAGATAAACGTCCCAGGGTTGTTTTGTTTACTAGAATGAAATGTCCTTTGGCAGCATTTCTTGAATTAATTTCCATTGCACAAAAAAGCAGCAAATACTGTTACTGAAGCACAGAATTGGCATGAATTTTTTCCCTAGCCAATCACGCAAACTACAAATCAAGACTTTTACCGCGTCCATAGTTGTTGACAGCCGATGGATGATGATGGATGTATTGTGACGAATTTTGACCCCCGGATTCTGACCTTGCTTTCTTGCCACATTTACTGGCCTTTCATACCCGTTTAATTTCATTTCATTAATTCATCCAGATTCGATGATATTTTATATTTAATCCCAACCTTCATTTCACAGTCACTCTAGTTTTTACTTTTCTAAAATTATTTTACTGATCAAAAGACTTTTCACTCCCATCATGCAATCTCCCATAGTACTTCTGCAGACACAGCGGCGATCGCCAACATATCTACAAATAACCTCGCTCTCAGGAGCTGAGGAATAATGCTAAAGACATTTCATGATGGTCAGTTTTCATGAAGAAAGGGTATTTCAGTGACATGTTCCCCTAAGAAAGATCTGTATTTAGACTTTGAAATATGAAAAAAGTAATTCAAGTGCGAGATGTAGTAGCAGTGAACTTACTGATGGCAATATGAGCACCTTCCTCAGGAGGATATCCTCTTCTCACAGAATTGATTACACTTAATGCTACTGATAACATGTTCTCTTCCCTGATGTTAAGAATAAAAGAGTACATCAACGAATAGCATCATTTATTTAATACAACACATCTCCTCTCCTCTCCTCTCTGGCAAGAATATCTTGGTATTTGGTTTACAGATGCAAGTCAAAATGTTTGTAGCACGTATCAAAGATACTTGCCAGTCTTGTGACAAGCTGTGTTCAGAGTTGAACGATGTAATTATTCCTAAAATTTTAATTAAGCTTATTAAGAATACTAACCTTGAAATTTGTAAAACTTTTCTGTAACAACTATATAAAGCAGTTTCAGCTGCTGTCTTGTACTTTAGATTATAGCGTGGGCCAACAGTATGTATGACGTATCTACTCGGTAGATTGTATCCTTTAGTTACTTTCACCTCTCCTGTCCTACAAGCTAAAAAAACAATCGTTTGATTAATCAATTAGTCATTACATTGGGAGGAGACCATACGAAAATATTGGCCTCCAATAAAAGACTGACTACAGTGTGTCAAAATCGTGAAAATATGATTGGCCCTTTGCGACCAATAGCAATTAAGCATATATATTGGTCCATGGTCATGGCTGAAAAGAGTGTCTGGAATAATTTAGAAAAAAGGCATTTATGATACCATTCATATGGGTCTATAGTGTAAATTTATGTACATGGGAAATTCGCACATTAAGTTTGTGGAGAAAAAAATTCTCAAATTTGCTTTTGTATGCATTAATCTGATTGGGTAATGAGATATTACTAGCATAGTACCTGGGCATATAGTGAGTGGAATGTTGCACAGAAGCCTAAGACCTCCCAGACTGTGTGGTGTTTGCATAAATCTAAATAGGTAATGAGGTATTACTAGCATTGTACCTAGGCATATAGTGAGTGGAATGTCACATATATGTCTATGACATCCCATGGTGTGTGATGTTTGCATAAATCTGAATAGGTAATGAGATATTACTAGCATCATACCTAGGCAATAGTGAGTAGCATATAGTGAGGGAAATACTGCATAGATTCTAGGCTATGGACATCTCATGAAAATTTATTAAAGAGAAAAAAACATTGATAATGAAATTATATGCATTTATAAATACTCACTTTTGATATTTTTGCGACATTCTTGTCGTAACCCTGGTCCAGCTTTCTCAAATATTCTATCGCTGATTGGGTTCCTGTCATTTAAAGCCTCGTTCGTAGCATGTACAATCGCAGTAGTGTTTATATCAGTGATGTCACCAGCCCTGAATATCAGATAAATAATGATATAACATTACATAATTAAATTAATTAAATCATGCAGCAAATTGAAATTTGAATTAGAAGTACAAGATAAATAGTGCAAACATAGCATAGATAATAGTCACACAATGTTCTGCATCCTTCCCAAGGACTGACTGATTTGTTATCTTTTAATTAATTTGTTTATTACTAGCAAGGTTCAAGGTTGAAGCATTTGTCATCTATAAAACTAAAGTAAAAAAAATAGGGAAGTACAATCAGCGTAAAGTACATTGTCAAAATGACAAACAAGAGTACATATCTCAGTCAGTCAGTCAGCACGGTACAGTCAGTGGTTGAAATTCGAAAATCAAAATTGAGTGATGGTAGCGAAAATATAGTTTAGTCACAGTCCCTCTATCACGAGGGACTGTGGTTTAGTCATGTAAACTTTTGACTGTTGATCTTTCATTAGAGTTACAAGTAATCATTTTATCACAAATGGGCGTGATTTTAATTAACATGCAACTAAAACTGACACCCAGAAGACAAACCTAATTATAATTAGTACAATAACATGGATGAATTCAGGCAAATTTTCCTTAAATGGCGGTAGTAGTCACGCTGTGCATATGCGACATTTGTGTTGATAAACATTGATTGTCCCACAATCAAATGCGCTCTTCTAATGCAAATCAGATGTATAAGGTTTGACCTGGGCGCGACTGGCACTGATTACGACCGGAGACTCCTTTGATACCTTCCAATCACCTACACAATAATTAATTAAAACTTGGTAATGTCTCAGTTTGTACGAGTCGCCATCTTTATTTATATGAGACCCATATGTCTTGCACCTGCGAGGCGCGACGACAACCATCCTTTATGTGATGATTTGGTGAATTTGTTTGGTACCATCCTCCTCAAATGTAATCCAGATGTCCTTGCTGAAATCTTTAAAGCACAGACATAATTTATTTGAAGATTTTAGTCCTTATTATAATCAAAGCATGGAGATCTGTTTATATCTCCATGATCAGAGCAACAAACAAAATCACAAAACAACAAAATATCATAGAATGATGAACTCTGGCTCCAAAGGTCACAAAGGTGACCATGAGGTCAATGCAAACGATTAGATCAAGGTAATCTTTCATTAGTTTGGTAAAAAACTGTGAAAACTTAGGTTACTTGACCTCTTAATCTTTTGATGTCAAAGTCAACTTTATTGCTATTCACAAAAGTAACTCGCACAATTGTTTTCAAATTTTTTACGTATAATCGATGAGGTATTATGACATTTGGGCCAAAATTAAGAAATAAACTATAGAAAAATACATAAAAATGTACAAAACCAAGGCTCGAAAACTAACAGCATTTAAAGGGTTAAGCAAACAATGACTATGGGGTCGACTTAGGATTAGGGGTAAGGGGTATAATGGAACATCTTTCCTTAATTTTGGGGGTGATGGAGGGTAAGTGTAGGTTTTGAATTGGGTTAAGCATGGGTTAAGGGTGAGGGATTCCCCTTAATTAGTAATATTAGAATTCCTTGGTATTACGTAATTTTTGCATACAAGTAACTCGGCTCACCCAGTACATATGTCAGCTGAACACTGATGTCGCAAATCACTTACCATAATATAACTTTGCTATTCACATCAACACGAACAGGAAATCGGGAATTCTGCTCCCCCTCTTCTTGGTCTCCAGCGGTTTTCCTGAACGCTGGATAACCTGGCACCTCAGTGTCTGACCATCGTGTCAACGAGTATGTATCGACAATGTCAAGTTTAGCTCCAAGTGGATCATCCATTTTGCCTAACGTCTCTGGTCCCTATACATGTAGTGCCTAATGCTTGCACTCACTCACTCAAAGGTCAAGTCCGGAAACAAAAACACACTTTTCGTCACACGTGAACCAGTAGTCACAAATAAGTACAAGTATAAATTTAAACTACAGGCTGTACCTGTCAAAACAACAGCAAAGCTCATGTGGCCGTTCTCAAATAAATCAGAATAGTTTGGGCAAAATGCAGGCAGTGAAACATACGTCCACAGGCACAGCCGAACTCAATCAGGTGACCTGGACGAGAGAACTGATCATGTTAATACCGCTGCGGATTGTTATTCCTCACTGTGACAGACACCGCTTCGTTGATTTTGCCGGGATCAAACACAATGGATTGATATGTTTCTCGACGAGGAATCCTTTGTACCACACTGCACCAAGCGATATATTAAAGTGGTAGTCGATTATTTTCCTTCGAGAAAGACGAACTCCGATAGCACAGCAGCCATTTTGGTTTTGACGACAGTCATGTGACACTACTCCCAACATGCTCCGCGCCGAAGCAAACTTTTCGGTCGCTTCAGATATATATTCAACTAACTTAATATTAAAAATATGTCATATTATGCGTGAACGCGCGAGAACTACATGTAACAAGCAACAAATTAATATCATAAACTAAAGCAACATCTGTACTTAAAAGTGCGTGTGTGTGTGTAAGGGGTGTACAGGCAAAAAATCACCGTGACTGACTTGAAGAGAGCTGGAAAAAGGATCTGATCGACTCGAGATGAAATAAATCTGTCAGAATTATGTTTTATTTATTATTGAACATAGAAGTTATCAGGGGTCGGGCAATGTCATTATTATATGACGATTTTCAGGCGATTTACCGAACATGAATATGCTGATCTGTCGTTGGTTTCCTGGAACGGGACTGCGCTTAATATTTCACCTAGTACCACATCCGTTGGAAATCAACTGGCAGGAAATGCTGAAAAAAAACTTTCCCATCTACCGTCAACTGAAAGTCACGCGAGATTTGAAGAAATTCTGCGGGACTTGCTATATTCGAAATTTTGTTCTAAAATTCTATTTTCATTATGACGCGTCGCGCAATATTCCGAACTCAGAAAGTCGTGTTGTTAGCAACCAGTTCAGTTCACTCAGTTCACTCAGTGATCCTCGATTAATCACTTCTTTTATACAATTACAAATTATTGTATCCAGTTTACGACATAATCCAATATGTACCAAGAAGAGAACAACGCGTGGTATTCTTTTTCAAAGTTTCTTGACAAGTTCAAGGGAAGTAACAGGTGAGTTTACCATTTGTGCACACGTTCGTAACTTTACACCGCGGTCCACCATGCGCATACGCACGATACTTTGTGGTATATTTCATTGGAGGTTGAACTTAAAAATTACTCGCTGTATTGTCAAGGATTGCGAGTAAGGCGTAGTAACAATGGTCTAATGGAAACACCTTGTTTTGTTTTCCGAATATTTACTTCGCGATAGTGTTCCGTAGCCTCCATATGTTTTGCCAAATTCCTGTTATGTGATTGTGAAGTTCAAATCTTCATAAATTAATACATCTCTTTTCCTTTTTCAGAAATGTGATTCACGCAGAGGTCAATATCCCTCTTCAGGCAATAAGAGAGGTTCGCCCAAGTGCAAACGGTGAGGATTTACATGGAAATTCTACTGTGAACCGCGAACAGCGCCACCATACAAAATTGTCCGAAACTCCCAAGTGTCACGTAGACGGGACGCGATCACCTATTGTAAAATCTCAAAGCGATACTGGGGACAATATTTCTACCAAATCACACGTAAGCATGTTGTCGCGAGTAAGAAGGCGGGCTAAACAGAAAAATGCTGCGAGTTGCATCAAAGATAAATCGGAACCTACTAGAGAAAAAGACATTGCGAGAAAAGTAAAATCTGAAGGCAAAGTTAATGGGAAACCACTTTTCTGTATTGGTAAAAACAAAATCGAACCATATGTTGAATGTCCCAAGAAAATCGACAAATCGCCTGAGCACTCAAAAACCGATGAAAAATTGATCTCCGCCAAAGAAAGAATGACGTGTTCGGAAGGAAGACAGCAATGTCCTTGCCGTGACAACGAACCGGCGGATAGAGTAGTCACCGTCGGTGAAAATAGAAACTATATAATGAAACGTTTTCTGAAGGACACTATTTACTGTAATAACTCGTTTCCTAATCCATGCGAACTGAACATAGACCTTTCAGGTGTGATAACTCCAGATGATCGAAAAAGTCGCAGAATGGAACTTAGTAATTTAAACGACCGCAATATGCAACGAGACAGTGACAGTGACTCGGATATATCATGTCTGTTTCTGCCTGATGATTTTTATCAAGATAGTTTGAGGGAGTTCGATGGCAGATCGGAATTATCGTGCGTAATATCGGACGTGGGCGCATCTAAAGATAGCCGTAAAATCACATATCATCGTCCACTTCCAGTGTGCCCAGCTACCTGTCAACCTATACACGGGGTTAGTAAGGAAACCATAGTAACGAGACCGGGTCCGCTGGATCGCCAACATGAGCGTGCAGTTAGTTCTGAAAAATATACGAGACCACGCCCTCATACGAGGCCATTACCACCACCACCTGCTGAAACACGTGCTTTGTCACGCCCCTCCGCCGAGAGTAGACACAGACGTCGCTCATCAGTCAGTCAACGTTCACTACCACACCCACCTACCAATTCAACACCCCGTAAAGTATTTATAGACGACGATACTTTCACCAGACCGAACCGCAATCTTGTTCGCCCAGCTGTCCAAACCATGATTGACAACGTCTTTGCAAGAATCGCACGCTTGAAAGTGCGTTTTTCCCAGATAAAATCTCGGACGCTGGGTAGAAAATAAACACCATATTACTATTATTGTCATTAACAATTTTAAGTCTACATGTTACAAAATAAAATCGATTATATAAACGTTATATATGAGTTGACTTCATGATATCTTCGACAAGGCAGAACAAGGAGGTCTGGGACAGGTCGTGCTGTACTTGTTTATTATGCGCCTACAACTACATTTTCATCTGAACACTTAATATATCCACCGTGAACGAATCATGTCGTAATCACTAGACTTGTTTACAAGTCTTCTTGTTTTTCGCAAAAAATAAATGCGATAAAAATAGCAAAAAATGTCATTTGTTGTCGCATTTTTTTTTAGAAATCAATGAAGACAATAATAATAATTGTGCAATATACTACAGTATTGTAAAAAACGAATGAACCAGTAGTTAATTTTCTAGAGGGCTCGCCTTAAAAAGAGTCTAAATATACACACGTGAGCCCCAGGTGACGTTACACGTATGATCTGTAAATGTTCTTTCAGGGATTCTTGAAGCCACATAATGCGCTACCAATATTAAGTTCACTGCTAATGTTATTACAACGATACGATTGTCTAACAACTAGAACAAAAATGTGCTCCACTAAATGCGATTCGCAATTAAAGGGTGGTGGTCGTCGCGATGCGCATGTGCGACATCAGTGTTGATAAACAATGATTTCCCCATAATTCAATGCGCTCTTCTAATGGAAATCACAAGTATGAGGTTTGACCTGGGCGCGACTTGCACTGATTACGAACGTAGGCTCCTTCGATACCTTCAAATCATCTAAAACATGCCTAATTAAAGCTTTGTAACGTCTTATTGATCCGCACAACAAGTTGCCATATTTGTTTATATGAGACCCACATATCTCAAGCATGCGTGGCGCGACGACTAACGCCCTTTAAAATGATTTCTCGTCGTTGCCAGGTAGAAGCAAACCTTAATGACACTGTATGACCTATGAAGTTTAATGTCTAATTCCACAGTCACTGTGCGAATCCCTGATAACAGTTCTTCTTGTCTGAGGTATATACCCCCGGTATATTTTAAGGTTGCCCTGGAAGATTTTGAAGTCTGAAACTAGTATTTTCAATTTTAAATCATTCCTTGTCACTGCTAGTATCATGATTTATATTTCAGTCAGTTTGACAGTGGTTGCCATGACATATACTGATAAAGGTTAATGACAAGACCAGATGGCGAGCTGGTCGAAATCAACCAAAAACATCTTATGACTCTGCAGTTTTTAAGATACAAGACAGTAGCTGTAATTCTAAACCAATGTTGTTTGCGATTTTAACTAAGGTAGTATCTTTGTGGAATGTTAGTGCGAGATTATTACCCCATCAATATTAGTTAGCGTTGACAATGTATAGAAATGTTTTCTCTAGACAGCTTGATGAGTAATTAATTGATTATGATGTGTAAAACTTTCATGTGATTGGTTGTTTGTTGGAAGGCAAGGCCTTGGAGTCTCTTATACTGATTGTAATTGGTTAAGGGGTGACAAGAAATAAAGATGGATTTAATGCTGTCTCGGGTGAAAACCAGGGACTTGGCAGAGAATCGTTTTGGGAACATGAACGAAGCTTGTGTGTGTCTTTTGTTAGCCTAGCGTGGAAACGACCGAATCCCGGTTACCTAAGTGAAAGGTTTTTAACCATCAAAAATACCTATCACACTAGTATTAAACATCTAACCACTTGACTGTTCTATCTCGACACACGCTCCAAACATTAGTGGCGCTCTAACTTCCGTAGAATTCGAATGTTTGAGTGAGCTAATCATCCGGAGATTAAATCACACTAAACTGACTGCACTAGACGTCAGCAATAATAATCATAATCGATGAGACTTTCAATAATAACTTCATTCTCTGCGAGAGTTTGTATTTACTATGGTGTATATGATCAGTTCAGTGACCCGTTAAACATACTGTAAAATACTTTATTTTAGCTGGAATTATTTCGGCTGAAAAGATTTTTTGGGTGTTTTGTAAAGAATTTATTTTCACTGATTTTTGACGAGCTGAATGTAAAATATAGAAAAAAAGGTATATTCGCTGGATTTTACATATGTTTTATGTAAGAGCCGGTGCTCTATATTGTCATTGGAAATATATTTAATCGATCGTTTAATGACCGAATGTATCAATATCACAAATAAATAATTATTCGGATAACTGAAAGAAAATGTTTGTCTTCGCCGTAAAAATCATATTATTGACGGATAACGTTGGCGATTCCTACTTCCCCGGAAAAATATACGATTCAGAGATGATGGAAATCTCACGGGGTTCTGGATGTGGGGCTAGAATTCCCACTCGCGCGCTTTCGAAGCGACACTTATATCACAGCTGCGACGTATGTTTAGTGGTGCACGTAAAATCCGTAAAACATATAGTGTTGCTTTTCAAAAACATCACATTAAATCTATAGTGCTAGAGCTGATAATTCACTTAGTCCTGTCAACAACGTGTGTTTTCAGGCCCGTATCCGCAAAACAACATCGGCTCTACGTTGGCGACCGATGAGTCCGTCCCCTAACATTACACTGCTTTTCTCTGTCTCAAATTTCTAAATTGCCACTTGACGCAGGCACCCACATGTTGCCTATATTTTGTAATATATCTTACCTTTAATCCTGTATTGTGTGCAGCCGACAGCATGTCACTGTCTTAAATATTCTAGGGCCGACCATTTTAATTAATTTTACTAAAGCAATTAAACGCACATTTCGTGAGATTCTAAAGCCCAGTCGGATATTGGAAAGATGAATCTGCCAACACAATACAGTGAATTGTACTGCGTGTGGTTTGTCGTTCATATATTGTATGCGTATTGAGAGACTCTCATAACGAATCAAATGGAAGATCCCTTTAAATTGCCGAAATGCAAATCACATGGGTCAGTGTTTTCCACGTTGGAACCTTAATCGTAATCTGAAAACGGCACAGACGGTGCCACAACGTCATCAAATCGCCATTTTGGGACTTCACAATTGTGTTTAACCAGGTATTTGAGGAGGTCTAGTGAATAAAAAGATGATTTCCATGGGCAAAGGTGGACGTCGGTTAGACGGAGGTGTGTGGCTACGAGGGGCTGTCGCCGTTATACTATTTGTGGTTGTCATCGCCCTGATAGTACATTTCACAAGTAGTTCGTCAGAGGGCCCTGGAGGCGCGGCTGCGGCACAGCTACAAGACCCAAAAGTTACAGCGAAAAACTACGTTTTTATTGATTTGGGAGCTGGAAATGGAGACACGTTACGTTCTTTTTATGGGAAGATGGGCGGCGAAACGAGCTCTAGTCACACACAGTTTCCTTACGACTACGAACCAGAGGAATGGCGAGTCTACGCGTTTGAAGCCAATCCCAAATACAGCGCTGATTTAGAAGCACTGCAGAAGGAATACGATTTCGACCTATACGACGAAACAGCTGTCTGGACGACGGAAAGGGGGGCTAAATTCTACAAGGACACGAGCAGCAGAAAGGGATACTACGTAAGGCCGGCAGCGGGGGAAGTAGTTGGCACGGAGACGGATGATTACGTTGTGCTCAAAAGCGTCTCTTTTACGAGATGGATGCGGACCCACGTACGACAAGGTGATTTCGCCGTGGTCAAAATGAACCTGGGAGGAGCGGAATACGACGTGTTAAAAGCTCTAATTGACGACAAGTCTTTCTGTCTCATAGACCAGTTGTACGTTTTCTACCATGAGGACAGAGTATCGGGAAACGATGATTTAGTTCATTCACTACCAGCTCTAATTCGCCAGAAATCTCTAGGTATATTCTGTCAAGTACAAATATTGTATGAAACGGGTATAAGTACGGATGAATGAAGAACACAGTGATGTACCTTTAAAACAAGTGGTGTTATAGCTTGAAAAAATTGCCTCATGGTGTAGGGTTAGGTGTGATTACGCTGAAACTATCAAAACTGAATTATACTAGAAGTTTGTATATACACTATAATCTCGCTATAATGAACACTGTTACAATGAATATCCGGATATAATGAACATATTGCATGTCAAATGTATTATTTGCTTCATGATGGTGAACACTTCACTTTAAAAAAAAATGTTCTTTATAATGAGGTTGTAGTACATTAGTGCGTATTTAATTGGGTAAGATGGCGGCGATGAGATACTGGCAATGAACTTTGTTAAATATTCATCAGAACCAGTATACATGCAGACGTTTATAATAATGGTTTGCGGTCGCACAACTAGACTGAATATACATAGTATATTGCTATATTTAGTATGTAAACGTTAGTAACTCGAATACCTGCAATCAGTGAACAAGGACTACCAAGTCATGTGACATCACGGAAATGCGTCTGGTTGTTGCATCGGGGATATAGGGACTGTGATCGGCCGGGGTCTATACCACAAGACATATTGTTTGCCAGTGACAATAATTGTAAACTCGTGGTGGACGCTAACATCATAAACACAGCGGGATAAATACTTGGTTAATCAACGTACTGGTAAACATGTATTACTTGTCAGTGCGCGACTCGAACTTGTGCTAACGTACGACACCAACTCGCCTAGCTACAGCTGAGAAACGCCATCTAACAACTTACTCAGCAGATATGTCTTTAGCTCCGTCATAAAACTATGTGTTTTGTGTTACTATGTTTAATTTTGAAATGGGACATTGGATATGATTTATTGAAGCGGAACCACATCAACAACACCCGCGTTAACGTTAGTCGTATCTTCGTTAATTACGATATTCTGCTGTTACGCGTCACAGTCTTTGTAAATTATCAATTCGACCGCTTCGCTTGGAACTCAGTTCGGGAATAATTTCAATACAATTTCCCTGAGACTGTGAGATCTAAGCGTGACGTGATTTACAATGTGTTGGCATTTCATAGTCATACAGAGATTAGTTGCCATGAGTACAGCTGCCACGTCCCTGACATGAGGAAAATTATAATATTAAGAATGGTGTAATGCGTACAATTAAATTTATACGGCAGACTGTGGCATATGCATGTGTAATATGAATTCCATTAACTTAAAAATTACTTTTAGATTTAAAACGCCATAGTAAATGGCGGATTCATTGCATTGTTATGGCTTGGTTTTTTTTTTTATTTTATTTTAATTTTGACGATACTTGGCCGCTGACCAGTTTTTCAACTTGATATTTGTATCATTATTTTCTTTATATTTACTGACCTGGTGGCATTTTGGTACAAGTTCAGACTCAACTTTTGGGTTATTTATTGTAACTTTCTTTAGTATCACATATGATGTTCATATGAGAATACAAAAGATATGGGATTCTGGGTAATACGAATAAACCATTTCAATTGGTAATGTTTTTCTCGTGTTTTTTTCTAAGAATGTATCTCATTGTGCCGATATTTATACCATTACACGGATATATTATAATTAATATAGGAACACTCATCGTAGTATGGTTTCAGCTTAACACTAAAGATTAGCATAAGTGGATTATTTTATTCTTAAATATTGTTCAGTTAGTTTAGCTGAAAGGCTTAGAGAGTTCGTATTATTCTATATAGTTATTTTGCTTGTTTGTATGTGTTTCATAACATTTCAGTACATATATGCTCTACCAATGGCGGTGGCGATCATCACGAGTGTTTCCAGTTACGTACTGTGATTTTTTTGGGCAAAGTTACAGTAATGTTGTTATTCGAGTATTTCACCATTTTTTAGTTCGTTCAACGCTGAAATTGTGCTCCAAATAATAATCTTCGCAAGTAAATATCTGTCGCTTATGAGGATTGTTCTTCAAACACCGGAGCCTGCAAGTTACTGACGTACTCTGACTGATTAATATTGGTAACGCGCACAAAAAAACGAAAGAATTTACATCAATATCTGATCAAGACTAGATTCACGAAAAAGTATCAAATTACAATTGTCACTGGTTTGACGAATCTGGATTACGCTGGTATTTGATGTTACAGTATATTTCCGCGACGCCAAGTTCACGGGTTGTACTACAATCATCATGTTTCAAAACAGAGAACAATAACGTCATGTTTACTAATCATATCAGTGTTTTTATTTAATGCGACTCATAATTCAATAGCACAATCGTGGTAATGGTTTCAATGTAACGTAATTTATTGCAGGAGTACGACATCAACTTGAACCATTTTGTCAATTCCAATTCGTACTTGTTATATAGAATTACTAAAATAGTCGTTTGGTGAACATTTAGATACTGCGAGCCGTTAGTTTCACGGCGTGAACCAGCACCCAAGTCTCTGACATTCACACGGAATCAACATTTGCTGTGGTAGTAAACAGAACACGTATCTGTAAAAATTACGTAACATATATGGTACGTGTGGATAGACTAAATCGCCAGATTTGTACTAAGCAAGGCACCGTATTGAATTATGTATATGCATTATTGATAGATATGCATTATGGATACCGACACTAAAACTGTTAAATATTTATCACACAGACAAAAACAATATATAAAAAATATTAAAACTTGGCTTCGAGGCGAATCTATTTCTACCTTTATTATCCAATGTGATTTTTGCCACGATTATCATTTTTGTATACGTTTTGTTCTCTATTCGTACCTCCACCACGGTTAGTAACCGTGCCTCCACGTTTGTTTTTTAGTAATCGTCCGCATGACAGATGGGGGCAACACATGGAAGTACTGGGTTAATCAGACAACTCTGTGCAGCGGTTATGATTAATTATATTATGATAATACTGAAATCAGCATCGATTACGTAATTATGAAAAAAGTGTAATTAAAACACAGCATTTATAAAAACAATCCAATTATGAGTATGTATCAAAAACCTCAAATAGTGTTTATCTTTTAAAAATTGAAGTATGTCATTTATGTAGAGGTATTTTTTTTCACAGGCGACAACTTTCTGTATATAATTAGATAGCCACGCCTTATCCGAGTCAACAATCGACTTTAGAGCGAGGTTAAAAATTGTACTTATTTCGATTTTTAGCTGAATGGCTATACCGTGTTTAAAACATAGCTTAAGACAACTTATTTTTGTAACTGGAAACCAGACTGAAACGCGTAGATATCAGTAGCTACACTGCTAACACGGGATCCTATCAACGTTTGTTTTAACTCGAATCTATAACCCCGACCTAGCCCCGAAATCTTAATCTGTCCCCGTGGCAAAATTTTGAAGGGACCGAGCGAGTTTACAGAGTTGTGAGCTATTAAGCATACTGATAAAGCTACTTATACAGCTATTCATTTTAGTTAGAGACTGATCACAAATTACATGAATGGCCGGTGTCACGATTTTGGGGGTATGGTCATAGTACTAGCATTAGGGGAGGGTATAATTAATGATTATACACAGCCAAATATGGAACGATTACAACATTATACACAACAACAACGGCGTTGACACTCTAAATGACATTTGTAGGTTTATTTGCGTCTTAGAAGTTTTATGTCTCGTACTTGATAGCATAAATATGCACAAATTATATCCTAAACGATATTCAGTTTATCCGTATTTATAGATTTTATTTGCTAATGCCCGACCCTTTGAATCGTACTCGTATATGTTGCATTCGCCCTTGTTTCGAATATCATAAATAACCAATACACGTTCGTATTAATTACATATTGTGAGCTTGAATTAAAAGTTTCGAATGGTTGGATGGGCCACGGAGGATATGAATTCTTATTCGCATGGTTCCGATGCGCCCCAGCTGTTACAGTACGTGAGATAAAAATCTAGTATGCACTGAGTTTGAATTGAAAATTAATTTTCATTTTTTGTGTTTTAGTTTTAATAGAAATCATTAAAACAAACACTGTATCATCTGTGGGGAGGGGGTCATCATTTTCCTGCATTATTCAGATGAGAGGACCATATCTCGTGCAAATGTTTGTAGAAGGTTACATGTTTCTGTGTAGCTATGCGACTTTCGAAAATCAGTCATTTAGGTGTCTGGCTTAGACAGGTTTTTCTTTAAATGAAAATGATATCTAACACTATTGGTTGATTATACATAATAATTAACGCATGTGACGTCACCGAGATGATCAGGAAAGCTATCACAACTTAGAGACCACTGTTTCCATATAAACTGAGGTAGAATAACCCCAAGTATTTGTATTTATTGACCCTTTAAATGTAACTAATTTGTAGTTCTTTTGCATTTTCTGCATTTTTACTGGCAGCTGCGTCTACGAGTTCCAAGTTTACACGAATTTCCGTACACTCTACTACGTCTACCCCACCCACACATGTGTGGATTAATTTAATAGAATGGTTTGACCTTTCACATAATGCTATATTTGATTCACTTTGACACTTCGTATAAATTCTCGGGAAATCCAATTAAACCCGCAACAAACATACTCAGAGTCTATTTGGTCTTGTCATCTGAAAACAATAAATAATTGTTGGAGTGGAGTGGAGTGGAGTGGAGTGGAATGATGTGGAATGGAATGACGTTGTCGGTATACGTACTAGTAGCGTTGCTTCGATACTAGATGAAGATAATCTTATATTATTGTCGTATTTTGAATGAACAAACAATAAAAATGCAGATAAATCCACTATTGCTACCCACGTCGTTCAGTACTCTCAGGCTTCCTAAACATGGATACTGAGTAAAAAATACAAAATAAATACTTATTCGCATAAGTCAGGGCAATTACACAATTTCCAGTTACAAGTATTTATTTCAACCATTTATTTAATAAATTCCACGGATATATTATATGCATCGATTTGATTTCTATATCTGGCATTAATATGGTACCCAGGCAACGATACGAACAGCTGCGTTTTCACCTCATTGGGTTTTATGATAAAAGCAAACCGCTTGGATACGAACTTAAAAAACACATTCGGGTTTCATTTGCCGAAATGTGCGACATCCTGGAATATACATTCAGTGTAATTGGGAATAACAATATTATTTTCAGACTTCTTAATAATCGGCAATACACATACCATCTATTCGTCAGGCGGAATCCAGCGGCGTATTAATCTGACACTGGGACCCTTAGCGCATCATTAGTAAATTTAACGCCCCAGCGTTGAAACTGAAATCCAAACACGTAGGAGGAAACATTCACACAACACACACACACGAAAAAAAAAATAATGTCACCACTTCCGTATTCCTTCTGTCGGTGATATTTACAGGCATTTTTTTTACCCATTGATTGAAGAACAACATCATCTAGTAAGATGATACTCACCTAGATGATATACAGAAGCTCACAGACTTCCCGCGAGGCTCCGTTACACTATTTGGTGTATTTATGAAACGGAGACCCTGGGTAAGCACAATCTAGCCGACACACGGCGCGCCGTCAACTTCGCTGCAATGGAAACAATACAACGTTTGGCCCGTTCACTTCGGAGTGCCAGGACCGTGGATCTCCCAGAAGGTACGTAGAAAGCGAAATTGTGTGTAGTAGTGTTGGGGCGTCATGTGTGTAAATTTAAATTCAGATCATAATGCACATAACATGTACAAAATACAATATTTTTGTTTCAGGTACTATTGACAATCGTATATAATTTAAAAGTGAACGGGAAACCTGGAGTGTTGATACTACCCGGTAGTATTGAGGGGTTGATACAGTCCAAATCTATTCAAAATCTTACACGACTTTGAAAGCCAGAAACAATTGGTTTACTTTCTAATATACGAACAGTCTCTACCAAAGTAAAAACCAATATGACATGCATTGGTTTATGAAAAATAGTAGGAGGTACCCCAGTCTCAGCAAATTATTAATTGGTTGTACGATCCCGTTGGCGGTACAATCATGCTAGGTATTAAATCGTTGTGGGTGTTTTTTGATTAAATCATAGACCCTCTTTTTAGAGGGTCTATGATTAAATCCTCTTGATGCATACAGCCATCATGCCATACAATCTTTCTATTCATTTTCCTAGATTCCACTGCAGCATCATTTGTCTTGATGCCTATGGTGATTGCCAATCAACACAGGTAAGAAAACTTGCAATCTGGTTTGCATTAATTTACATGCAATTTTGCATATTATTTATTAATTTGTATTTGCTCCAGAAAGTAGATTGGTAAAATAAATCTGAGGTGGCACAGTTGCTGCATGATTATGATGCAACTTGTCAGAGAATTGACTGTTGGTTATAAAGTGAAGTGTAAGGTGTAGTACTGGGGTAGTTTTAGTTATGGTACAACATTTTTAGCTCCACTGTCGACTTTGTCAAGCGGAGCTTATCATATGATTGATTGTCCGTCGACGTCCAGATGTCAATGTTTTACTTTTTCGACTTCTTCTTGAAAACTACAAGTCTGAATGCTTTGATACTTGGTGTATATTTACCTTGGGTAGGCCTCTCTTAGATTTGTTCATTTCATGATGATATCTTCATGATGATATCAAATTCTCTAATTTTGATGAATATTTTTGTAATTTTTGATAAAAAGTGATATTTTTGACTTCTTGTTGAAAACCGCAAGTCCAATTGCTTTGATATTACATATATAGGTACTACATATGAACCTATATCAGATTTGTTCATTTTGTGATGATATCTTTAAGTCCAATTGCTTTGATATTATTGAATAAAGAATTCTCTATCTGTTTTTTCATTCAAAACCTTCATTTACCATGTTTAATGTTCGAAAACCTTGATATGAAGGAATGCATTTATACATAGCAGGTAATCATTTGTTTTCAAAGACTTCATGTAACAAACTAATTGCTAAACCTTGTCAAAATGATCAAACCCACAATTCATGGGATATACTCAATGTATAAATGGGATACATTAGGGTACCTAATACAACACAAAGAATTTAGATAATTGGTGAATCATTACACTGACTAAGGTATGATAATAATTCTCAGAGAAATTCAAAATCACAAATGTTGATACTTTAGTTTATTATAACAGAACAGTTTGTTGTTTTGATATTTACATAATAGATATATAGTTTATGCAGATACATTTATTTTGATATTTCAGATCTGTTGCTGAGTTGCTGGCCAATTCCAATTTTGATGTGAACTTTCCATTTGGAAGAGCACAGCGTAATTTACTACACATAGCTGCAAAGTAAGTAGTTGTTAATAATCTATAGAACCATCATGTATTACATAATAATGAGATACTTATTATTTTGATAGAAATAAAAACAGCCAATATTGTTCACTTTATTGAATACTGAAAACTGCTTGATTTTTGTGAAACCAACTTTCAAATTTGTTTTAACAGTGATTTTATAGGAAAATCGTGAACAATTCTTGTAGTTAAAATTTAACAGTTTCAGTATATTGAGATATATTGCACTACACTACTAAAGGGCATCTGTGAGTAATATGCCAATGCCATGCTATGTATATAATTAGATAGACACGCCTTATCCGAGTCAACAATCGACTTTAGAGCGAGGTTAAAAAATTGTACTCATTTCGATTTTTAGCTGAATGGCTATACCGTGTTTAAAACATAGCTTAGGACAACTTATTTTTGTAACTGGAAACCAGACTGAAACGCGTCGATATCAGTAGCTACACTGCTAACACGGAAATCTATCAACGTTTGTTTTAACTCGAATCTATAACCCCGACCTAGCCTCGAAATTTTAATCTGTCCCCGTGGCAAAATTTTGAAGGGACCGAGCGAGTTTACAGAGTTGTGAGCTATTAAGCATACTGATAAAGCTACTTATATAGCTATTCATTTTAGTTAGAGACTGATCACAAATTACATGAATGGCCGGTGTCACGGTTTTGGGGGTATGGTCATAGTACTAGCATTAGGGGAGGGTATAATTACTGACTATACACAGCCAAATATGGAACGGTTACAACATTATACACAACAACAACGGCGTTGACACTCTAAATGACATTTGTAGGTTTATTTGTGTCTTAGAAGTTTTATGTCTCGTACTTGATAGCATAAATATGCACAAATTACATTGCATCATTGCATTACATTTTTTTTTGCATTTCAATAACAATAGGCATATTTTGACAGTGGTTTTGAATGTCATTAATTTTTTATATGCTATTTTCGTAACTGTGGTCTATTGCAAATATATGTATCATGTGTCTTCCATGTGCATCATTTGTTTACCAATCAGAATAATGCATTTGAACAATTTGAATCATGATCAACATTAGTCTCATTTAACTTGCCAGCTAACATGTTTGTCGGAGTAATTTCTGAATCATTTATCTGTGAAGCATTGTAATTGAAACATGCAATATTTGTTAATCGCTTTATTCATTACGTTTTATACAAGTTCAATAATACTGTATTCTGACTTATACATTGTTGCAAAATACGGATTCTGAAGTGAGACGACGACATGAATGCGAACGTGGTAGAAACCACCGCAGTGTGTTCTTTTGTTTCAATTTTTATATTCATCCAATTAGAAGTTTTCCCACTAATTTTCTTACACGGTCAAGAGTTTATCGATGTATATCAAGGGCATACTGCCAATTCTGTATCATTCTTACAATTTGTGTTATATCGTTGATATCCAGTTGTAAGTCTCCGGATTGCCAGCGGGTTTTCTGTTAGTGAATAAATTCTGAGTTTTACATTTAAGTCGTTCTTCTGTGGTGATTGGTGCTGATTGTGTAGCAGATAATTTTGCATACTACATTTCGTTACATTTCCATATCCGCATGTATCGTCCCCCACAATGTTTGCATGTGTTTCAGTATTCAAATTTGCATGGTTTAGGGACATGTGCATCATAGATTGAGATGGGAACAGATATTCTACAGCATGGCCAATGAACTTTAATTTTTAATTCCAGCCCATAATTATACTTAAGATGTATGTAGAACGATTAGAATAATATCAAATTAACTAAAATTATGTTAATATTTATTTTAGTTGTGGTTCCTATGAATGCATGAGTATTCTGTTAAAGAAGGGAGGTGATGTCAATTACCAGGATATGTCTGGCTGTACTGCATTACACCTTGCAGCCAGAAATGGGTAAGTCTTTTATTGCATTCAAATTAATAGACTATCTTCATTCACAGCGAGATCCCGCTTTGTATGTGAAATCAAACGAAAAAAAAGGGACAAACAAAGTTATGTCGTAATGACATTAAAATTTAAATTCAAAATTAAATCATTTGATTTTTCTAGCAGACATTCACTTCACACCTTTCACGCAATACACAAGATCTTGCAGTGAGCGGAAAATCAGTTATGTTATGGAAAGTTATGGAAAGGATATTCCAACCATTCTCCAATCACTATAAAACTCAAAATATCTCACCTGACCAGCCTTGTGTCTCATCTGATCATGATCAAGGTTGCATATCAATTCAGTTGGTGTATGCTTCATCTAACCAACTATCTATGTACATGTGTGTGAGCATTCACTCAAGTCATATCACATTCATTTATTCATTGATAGGCAGAAGAAATGTATCGCCAAACTCTTGGAATACAAAGCTGATGTCAATATCAGAAACAACGAAGGCCTGACTACAGTGAGTTGCATTTCAATTTGTTTTATGTTGAGCTGTCTTCAAATTAAAGTATGAACTCCTTGGTCTGATTGTCATATTGATTTCTTCATTTTGACAAAATTGAAATATAGATAGAATATGATCAATAAATACCGGTAGGCATAATTGTGCAAAATTGAAACAGTGTGTATTCTGTGGTGTATTAATAAATTCTTGGCTGACATACTGTGCAACTGAAACCAGTTAATAGTTTTAAATTTTACTAATACTTCCCATGGAAGTCAAGTTGAACACAATGCATTATGTCAACCAGTCCCTATAAATTATGAGGTTTATCTATTTCATGGTGTTTTGTTATTATGATTCTCTATCAGTTGGTTCAGTTCAACCCAGTACACTTTCCAATCCAGTCCACTGTCCAATTCGTAGTCCACTGTCCAATCCACAGTCCACTGTCCAATCCGCAGTCCACTGTCCAATCCGCAGTCCACTGTCCAATCCGCAGTCCACTGTCCAATCCACAGTCCACTGTCCAATCCGCAGCCCACTGTCCAATTCGCAATCAACTGTCCATCCCGCAGTCCACTGTCCAATTCGCAGTCCACTGCCCATTCAGCAGTCAACGGTCCGTCCGGCAGTCCACTGATCAATCCGCAGTCCACTGTCTAATCTGCAGTCCACTGTCCAATCCACAGTCCACAGTTCAATCTGCAGTCTACTCACCAATCCTCAGTCCACTGTCCAATTCGCAGTCCACTGTCCAATTCGCAGTCCACTGTCCAATCTGCAGTCCACTGTCCAATCTGCAGTCCACTGTCCATTCAGCAGTCAACAGTCCATCTCGAAGTCCACTGTCCGTCCTGCAGTACACTGATCAATCTGCAGTCCACTGTCCAATCCACAGTTCACTGTCCATTCCGAAGTCCACTGTACAATCCGCAGTCCACTGTCCAATCCACAGTCCACTGCTCAATCGGCAGTCCAGTGTCCAATCCGCAGTCCACTGTCCAATCCACAGTCCACTGTCCAATCCGCAGTCCACTGTCCAATCCACAGTCCACTGTTCAGTCCACTGTCCAATCCGCAGTCCACTGTCCAATCCACAGTCCACTGTTCAATCCGCAGTCCACTGTCCAATCCGCAGTCCACTGTCCAATTCGCAGTCCACTGTCCAATCTGCAGTCCACTGTCCAATCTGCAGTCCACTGTCCAATCCGCAGTCCACTGTCCAATCCGCAGTCCACTGTCCAATCCACAGTCCACTGTTCAATCGGCAGTCCACTCACTGTCCAATCCGCAGTCCACTGTCCAATCCACAGTCCACTGTTCAATCCGCAGTCCACTCACTGTCCAATCTGCAGTCCACTGTCCAATCTGCAGTCCACTGTCCAATCCGCAGTCCACTGTCCAATCCGCAGTCCACTGTCCAATTCGCAGTCCACTGTCCAATCTGCAGTCCACTGTCTATTCAGCAGTCAACTGTCTGTCCAGCAGTCCACGGTTCAATCCACAGTCCACTCACCAAGCCTCAGTCCACTGTCCTATCCGCAGTCCACTGTCCAATCTGCAGTCCACTGTCCAATCCACAGTCCACTGTCCATTCTGCAGTCAACTGTCCATCTCACAGTCCACTGTTCAATCCGCAGTCCAGTCCTGTCAGCATAACTTTGAAACATGTACCAGATAATCAAAATAATTATTAATATGTATCATATCAATTTTAATCATTTAAAATATAATTTTTTTTTTTTTCAGATTCACTGGTTAGCTGTTAATGGAAGAACTGAATTGCTTCATGATTTACTTCAGCATGTTACTGATGTTGATGTGGAGGTAAAGATTTTTTGGTTCCATAAGTTGATTGGCCAAAAGCAGTCATGTGATATCTCTCTGACAGTCATGTGATTGATGTGATTGATTTTTCAGTAGTAAAGTATTAATATTTTTCTTGTGTCTAGGATGGCCAAGGACAGACGGCTTTACATGTGGCATGTCAAAATGGACATAAAAGTGTGAGTGTTCCTGTTTTTCTGCACTGTTAAAATTACACTATGGTCTTAGTGCCTGCATATTTGTGTTTTTTTTGCTCTTTTGTCACTGTACGACTCTCAGAGCACAGCTTGCAAAATGTAGAAAAGTTTGCATTAGAATGTTGTTGTATATTCAAATAACATTAAATAACTTCAGCTTGGTCATTTGAGTCAACCTAAGGCAGCCATACTGTAGCATGGTGTGGTCTGTTTAGCCAATAGAAATACTGGGCCTATGAATACAATACTGAATAAAACACCAAACTTCATGACTGAATAAGTTATTAATAAAAAAAATATTACGTTACTGTGACTGTGTGCTTTTGTACTTTGATTACGTAACATTAAGTCTTTAGGGAGGATTATAAAAAGTCTATAAAAAAAATGTCTTTAAGCAGGATTATGTTTGAGTAGTAAGGGATATGATGTGTGTCTGTTGATGATTTTGAAATTCATTACTATTGATTATCACAATTTATATTTTACTAGTTTACAGTATAACTGAAAATAATAATAGTTTTAATTAATACATTGTTTACAACACGTCATATATTGATTCTCAGACTGTTGTGTGTTTAATGGATAATGGAGCTGATGTGAACAGACCTAATGTATCTGGAGCCACTCCACTCTTCTTTGCATGCAGGTACAGTTATATATAAATTGTGTATCCTAGCATGATTCAAATATAAGTATCAAAGTTGTGTGGTGTGGTGTTCGTCGCTGTTCTCAATGAAAAAATGATAAGAGTAAGTCATCTGCCATGTTGTTTTGCCATCTGCCACTTTGTTAATATTGTTACCATTGAAACCAGTTGGAATACTAAGATGAAAATAAAATGTTGCTATTATCCATGAAAATTCAGTTTCTCTTTCATTGTTTGTATCGCAATAGCATGGATTCATTTTATGAAAAAATTACAAAAATTACATTTCATTTTAAATTCATTCCAAAAGTCTTAAAATATAATAAGTGCCATTTAGGAAAACCCAAAAAAAACTTCATTCTAGTGGTGTACAAATCTCTGAGTGTATACTTTGTGTAATCATATCCATATAGTTGGTTGTTCTTTACAAACATAATTTACCAAAAATTTGCATTTTCAACATATTGTGTCAATTTTTTTCTAGCCACGGTCAGCGAGATACTGCTCAAATCCTATTGTCCAGGAATGCTAAGTTTCTTCCAGACAATAATGGTATTACTCCATTGGATATATGTGTACAGGTATTATTAGCATAATATTATTTTTATATTATCAATATTATGATATTCTGATTTACAGAGATTTATCATATTGATAATTTTACAGTATTTAAATTTGAATGAAAGCTTAGGGCCATGCACTGTAACCTTGTTGTAATGAACTCTTTTTAAGGAGACAAACAATTTAGTTTGTTATAGTGAAGTGTTCACTATAATGAAGCACATAATTTTGTGGATTTGTTTGAACAGGAGACGTGCAATGTGTTCATTATATCAAGAAATTAATTATAAAAGTTTTCATTATAAGGTTACAGTGTTTATAAAGTACATGTATTTATAAATGCATTTAAAAACTACAATTACATGAATCTAACACATGTTTTATTCTACATGATATGTATTGTGTAATAATGACAAGCGTATTGTTCTCGGTGTGATTATTTTTTGTCTGATATTTCCTATAGGGTGGATACAGTGAGACATGTGAAATTCTTCTACAATTCATTCCAAGGTTATTTGATGCTGTTATCCAGATGGCTGTCAATGAAAAAGTTAGAGAACTCACCGTGAGTCAAATCTCATTTACAATTAAGTAGAACTGTTCTACTAGCAGATTAGTTATAATTTCTAGTTATAAAGCAGATACTGGATATATCTCATAAATGAAGTTTCTTATTGTTTACTACTACCATAATTTGACATCACTTTGTGATGGTGTTTTATTTTTTACAGCTTTCAAAAGTTTTGGAATACCTTTGTCGTGCCAGTCAAGCGCAGCATCAAAGAATTATGGTTAGCCTAGGGGAACTAGCCACCTCAGCTGGACATAAACTTCTTAGGTAAATAATCTTAGACTAATACTTTGATATTATACATTTATTTTTTGAGTTTTATTGATTAATAGAACTATCAAATATGAAATACTCAGTCATGTAATAAAACCACAAAAGGCAAAAAACTAACCGTCAAATATGTTCTACTGTAAAATTCCTTATTTTAGCTGCAATTAATTTACAATGAAAAGACTTTTTTGGTGTTTTGTTTAAAATTTCACCAATTTTTGACAAGTTGAATTTAAAATATAGGAAAAAAAGAGTTATTGGCTGGATTTTATTTTCACTGAATCACCCCTTCAGCGAAAATAGAGAAAAACAAAAATTGCAAGTGAAAATAAAGTATTTTACAGTTCGCAGTACGGCATTCATTTCAACCAATATATAGCAAAGGTTGATGCAATCCCATACCGCCTGAGTGCTTACTTTGTAGTATCCTCATTAGAACCTTATTATTATTATACTTTTTTTTCCTGCTTAAAATAATAGCTGAAAATGCGAAAAAAACAACTTTCTTATGAGGTTCATTCCTGCACAATTGTGTGCTTTCAGTGGATTCTATTTCTGCCATTTGCACATCTGTACATTTGATGTTTGAATGTGACATAACTTTATCTGGAACTCAATATGGTGGTGTACTTTGCCTCCAAATAAGAGAAACTTCAACATTGGAATGAGAGCAAATACATTTGAAGAATGTAAAATAACATTATTTTCTGTACTACAGATATAATAATAGTTTATTCCATGGTATCACCATCAACAAAAAGGAGAAACTGCAATGATTATGAAAGATAAAAAACACAGAAATATTTTAATAAACGTTTACAGATTAACAACCATAGTAAATTTCACTTTATACTTTAACTCAAAATTTTAGCAGGGAATTATTACGTACAAAATACTGCAAACCATTAATTTTTCATCACAAAAAATATCTCATGATATATGACGTTTGCCAAGATAAAATTTTGCGAATGTTACTGTGACTTCCTGACTTAAAATTGTATTGTTGACTAAATTTTGTCTTTTGTGTGTAGTACCGGTAATAAGCATAATATAATAAATGCAACAGTTATGGTGTTTGCAAAATATCTGCATCTGAAGTTTCTTCTAAATAGCCATACATCACTAAGCAGGTTCTTTTTTGGTTGAGTTTTTAAGTTTTTTTTTTTTTTTTTGTATTTAAAACATTTTTTATTGAGTCATTTTACATAAACACTTTACATAGTTACATGTATGTGTACCAAAAAATTACATTGCACAACAAACAAGTACAAAGTCTCCACAAAAATATTACAATTTTTTCAGGTAGTCATGTTGATATGCTAGGTCGTTGCTACAATTTTCATAAATTTTCCCCATTTTTTAAAATGTTTTCCCAATTTATATTTTCTCTTTGCAAATCAAGTTTTCTGTACCCTCTGCACGAAGTCTTTAAATTCCTCAAATTTTGGTTTGTTACCCTGACATCTGCAAATATAAATAAACCTCCTGACTACCAAAAGCAAAAACTTTAACAGGAGGGGGAGAAGACTATCACCAAACAAGAAGCATTCTGGGTTGTTTACCCGAGGGGAACTCAGTTTCATATCTCATACCCCATATCTCAAAGAATGTATCCCAAAATAATTTTACTACTGGACATTCATAGAAAAGATGAAGCAGATTTTCGTCAGGCCCCTTACACAACGTACAGGCTCCTGATTCAATTTTTGGTGCTAAGTAAATACTTTCCCATTCAGTAATATTGGAGTTCACTGTTTTAAACATGAAAGATTTCAGATCTTGGCGAAATACAATATTGCTTTATCACTTCTGGGGTCACCAACTTAGTTTTACATTGTTTCAAATGAATTTGAACACCCACAAATCTGATACCCAACATGTCATCCTCAGGGTTAGCAAATTTGTTTATATCTACTTCCCTTTTCCATTCACGTGGTAGTGCGGCCACAATTCCAAACCAATCCAAAAATCTCTTGCGAGGTATTCCCCTTTTTTCCACTTCACTCCACTGAAGAAGTTGGCCCTTAGTATCAAAAAGATTTTCAACATAGTGGAAACCAGCCTCCCTGAAATCTCCCAAAAAATATACTTCTGCCTCCTTGTAAAATATGTTTGTTGTTCCAAATACTTTGATTTAGGGATGCTTTTCACCATCTGGCGGAGCTGTGACTGCTAGCCACGACTCTAACATACTACGAAAGAAACCCCTCACAGTAATGGGAAGAGCATTAATATTAAAATTACTCCTTAAAAGAGTTTCTATTCCCCCAACTCGAGACAGTTTCTTCTGCAAAATCCATTTCCAAGGGTGGACTATATTGTTGTCAAACAGACAACGTAGCCAATCTATTCGTTGAGCCTTCACTATTGCAAAAATATCCATTGCCATTTTTCTGTCATTTGAAAAGTAAACACCAACAATTTGAATCATATTTGGCCATTTTACCGCAAGGGTTTTTTTTTTTTACATTTGCTTTTGTTTCCAATCCACACTTCACACTTATCCTGGTTAATTGCTAACCCAGATATTTTTTTGAAATTGCCCAATATTTCAAACAGTTTTCTACATGAGGGGAGATCACTAAGGAAGCATGTCAGATCGTCTGCAAACGCTGCACTTTTAAAAGAACCAAAACCCGGAATCACAACCCCTTCAATATCCTGACTGGACCGCAGTGAGCACAGAAATATCTCCAACCCCAAAATGAACAACGGGGGTGAAATTGAATCCCCCTGCCTAACTCCTCACCCCAGAGAGAAATATCACGTACTGGTGCCTTTGTTCATAACACAACTGGAGATGTCAGAGTAAAATACTTTTATCCATTTTATAAAACTTGGGCCAAAATTATAAGTCTCCAATGCTCTAAAGAGGAAAGGCCACTCCACAGTATCAAAAGCTTTTTCAAAGTCTACTGTTAGTAACAAACCAGGGATGTCCTCCTCGTCCATGTACTCCATTACACAGTCAATCAATCTCACAACATCGCCTATAAATCTATTTTTGACAAAAGCCGATTGGGTTATATGTATTAACTGTGGAAGGACGTTTTCTAATCTTTTAGCTATACATTTTGTACCAATCTTATAATCTGAATTGAGGAGTGATATAGGCTGCCAATTTTCAGCTTGTCGTTGAGATGTGGATAGCCTGCCTTTCTCAAAGGACGTATTTAGAGCCCTCACCATAAATTTTTTAACCAATGGCAAAATTTTTTTATAAAAATCTGCTGGCAGACCGTCATTACCTGGGGTTTTATTTGGTACAAGAGTTTTAATCACCTCCCAGGCTTCCTCGACAGAGATGAGGCCTTCACAAATGTTTGCCTAATCTTCAGTGAATTTTGGAATGTCTGGATTATCAAAAAAGTAAGCATTTTCCCTCCTCGCCCTTTCATTTTGGTCAAGTTTTGAGGCATACAAATTTTCATAATACATTTTAATTTCATTATTAATTTCCCTCTGGGACCTCACCTCTAACCCATCCGCTCTAGTAAGTTTGTTTATTTGAGATCTCCTAGCGTTCATTTTTTCTAATTGCAAAAAATACTTTGTATTTTTCTCACCTACATGTAACTCATGCCAGTTGGCCCTAGCTCTAACAATCTGCCCCTCTGCTATTTCGTCGTATTCCTGTTGTAATGATTGTTTTATTTGACTAAATTCATGTAATACTTCAGCAGTAGGGTTTAGGCAAATTTGATCATCTAGAATTCTAAATTTTCGCTCCAGATTTTCTATTTTTTCTGTTTGTTTTTTCTTTTTTTCTTTACTATAAGTTATTGAGGTTTTCTTAATACAATATTTAAGCCAGTCCCATACCATACGCGGGTCCTCAATATCCTTGCCTCCTTTTAGCCAACTAGGGAACTGGGTTTCAATAAGCTCAATATAATCAGTGTCTCTCAATAAGCTAGTATTCAATTACCAATATGAAGGACCACGTACAGTTTCGTCATATTTCAAGCTAATGACGACCGCCGAATGATCAGACAGCACACAGGGAACAATTTCTGTTTGAACTACATCACTAATAAGTGACTGGTTTACCAGAAAATAGTCTACTTTGGATCAATACAGGATTAAAGCATTTCCATGTAAAGCTACTTTTCTCCGGATGTATAATTCTCCATACATCTACCAGATCAACCGCCTCCAAAAAGCCATGAAACATTTCCGAAACACA